GGTTCCTTCCCTGGACAGAGGATCAGCTGTGGCCTACCTGCGAGCGGCAAGGACGCTGACCCATTGACCGTGGCCCATCGTTAGCAGGTGCACTTGCGAATGAATGGGTAAGTCTAAATCTCTACAGTTTTTACATTTTCTTTTTAATTCAATATTCCCCGCGACTTGTTAATCCTATCATCATCCATCAATTATCAACAATCTATCATTTCTCCATCCATTGCACGTGAACAACGATTAAGTGTATTAATTGTTATTCATAATAGTGCACGAAGAACAATTTCCTTGCATTGTTATTCATGTAGTTTGTTAAACGCTTCGTACTGAGCGGAGCGCTTGTTCAAACGCGTGAAAAGCCGCCCGGCCGGATCGGAGCCAACGCTCCCGAGCCGGAGCGCGCGCGAACCGAGCGCTCTGATTGGTCGGTGTTTTTTGTTAATAACTCCTCAACCACGCCTCGGACAACTTTTTCGCAAAGGAAAATGTTGTTTAAAATCATGTCAGGAACCTCCCATTAAAATTCCTTACACTAGTTTTGGGACACCCTGTATTTAGTATGTTTAAGATTGAAACAAACTACAAATGTGATGTTACGTTTTAAGACACAGAAATACAAAGATTCAATATTATTGTATTGCACATACGTCTGTAGACCTAGAGGTGTAACAACTTTCTACGGATCCTTAAGCCAAAAGCATTTATTACCATAAAAATACATCACAGTTGATTTCGAAACTTACAAGTCTTGTAAATTCAGCAGTCTCGTAACGTGTTGCGTATGGAGAGAAATATATTTTTTTGTACCTTACGAACACCCGGACGTTCTTAAACAAAAAACGCACTCGTATCTTCTCGGTGAACAACGTCGATGCCAGTCATGTGGCAGATGTTGCTCGGCTGAGTCAATTGGTAGTACGACCATCTGTGACAGCATAGTCGTTATCAACCTACAGAAATGAATGATAACAAATTAGTATAGCACGACAGGCAGCAGAGAATCATTGAGATCTTACAAGTACCTATTCGCCGGCGCACTTATACTCGATACAATTCGATCACTTTACGATGTTTGCATTAAATCATAAAAACATATGTCGTGCTCTTTAGACTTCTTTTCTATTTAACTTCAATTCTATGTATACACGTGTGTGTACTTGTCACAGTCCCCTTTCTCCTATCGTTTTACGTTAACGTCGTAACGAATTATACTTTGGCACTTATGAATTAACGTGTTTCAAAAGAATTTTCGATATCGTTCGATCGATCTTATCGCACGGTCATTGTCAAGATTTAAGAATACGCTGCAGGTATCGCGTGTATAAAGCGGCTCGAACTTCGGAATAAGAACTATTTAAATGGTCACGCCCGATGCCTAGGAAACGATTCATATGCAAATAAGAAAGTTATCGATCAACTTCCTAAGGAAAGAGACATTGAGACTCCGGATTTGTTGTATCCACTTTACACTCGATAGATGCAGACTTTAGGTATATATCTTTATCCTTGCTAACATCTGTTTTGCAATAGACCGGTAGACTTGTCATTTGTTCATATAAAAAACGGATAGATTTATGTTTACTCACCTGAGTATTCGGGTTGAGGTATACTCGAGCATTTGTCATTTAATATATACGAGCGTAAAATATGTTAGCATAGATTTTCGTTCGTGTTTAACTCTTGTTGCTTGCTTTTCCATCGATTTCATTTTACGTATACGTGTACCGTTTTTCGTTTTCATTCTCTTTCTCCCTTTTTTCTCTATGCACTCTTACAACTAACAATAAGTTCTTTACGCGCGATACACTCGGAAAACTATGGATCGAACAATCGGTTGTCTATTCACATCGAGAAGGAATCGTAACGATATGCAGATAATTATTGTGAAAAAAAATCGAAATAGGATGCGGCAGACAGAATGTTCGATCGCTGATCGTCCAACTAAATGAAAATAGGTCGACGACAATTCTAATTGATGAAAATATATGTACTGCCACACGTGGTACGTGTTACACACATGTTTGTACTCTGTAGAAAGCGATGTGTACTATCTAAATTTGATGAATGCGATACCTGATGCCGTCAAACAATGTGAACACTTATCGTACTGTCATTTATCGATTTCTAACATTCGTATTATGAGAATTTCGTAATTCTTCCTTGCTGGTTACAGAGGGAATGCATTCTCTTTGTCTCTCATTTAATTTTCATTCTGTTTCCTAAGTATCTCAGGTTGTCGTAACGCCTGTGAAATAAACTGAGTTTTCGTCAGAAGTCTTTGTTCACACACAACTAGAACCGTGTCCATTCGATATGCACCGGTTATAATTTAATTTCATTCTGGGCATTAAACAGTATTGTTCGAACACAAACTACGAGCTATCTATATGCAAATGAAAAAGGAAACGGGTTCGCTTTACTGAGGCTTTCGTCGTTAAAGAAATTCGTCTCGTAAACAATTATAGTTCTTAACAAAAATTTTATACCTACGTTATTTACACGTTTGTCGGGTGGGCTTTGTTTTTTATGTGCATACATTTCCTATGGCAGTTGCTGGTTTTCCAGTTTCTCATATCGCTCCCCCTATTCGTTCGTGCGTTCAAAGGAAGTTAGGAAATAATAAACGTGAAAGATATGTTACTGGTTTTTCTCAAGATTCTTTTTTTCCAAGTTCCTTTCCGTCTCGTCTCGTTATCGCTCTAATACTTACAATGATTGAATTGATTTACTATCACTACATAATATGTATGTATACCGATGACATGCGACGATGAGTGTCTCTCATTTTTTAAACACACGTTGGACAGTTTTATAATATCGAACAAAACGTAAGACAACATTGTTCACTCTAGAGAAATGGTTCTGTTACTCTAACGTCCAAGATCGACCGATTCTATTCGTACATCATTTCACGATTCCTTACGAACGACTATTCCTTTCGTGTATATAATTCATTTTAAGTCGCTAGTATATCTCGTTTTGATTGTCTCTGCCAGTGTGACATTTCAATTATATTGTACAACTCGACAGTCTAAAGACTATTGTCCTAAAAAAAAAAAAAAACAGGAGCTTCTTTTCGTCACCTCTAAGCAGAGAAATTTTCAGTTTCTGCAGATTGAAAATGAATTGCATTTAAATTTTGGGTATACCAAATGAAATGTCGCAGTAGTAAGACTCGGCTGTTATCATTAGTAGTAGATATGATTAATAGTAATAGTATTAATAATAATAATAATAATAATAATAATAATTAATTATTGTGGTATCGTTATAAAATTGTTGCCTGCCGAAATATCGCACTATTGGACGCATTGAGAAGGGGGGAGGGGCAGCATTATTGCGATACATGGTATTTCATCTGCTCACGATTAAACGTAAGTGAATACACCACAAAATACAATCACTTGATTCTTTATACTTTTACACAGAATGCAACATATTAGTCTTTCTAACCTAGAATCCTTTAACGATTATCGAGCTCTCTCTTTCTGCGTGTACGTGTATCCGCGAGTTTACAAACATCTATTGGTGACTTTACAAATAGCGTGAACACCTTTTTCCTTACGAGTCACACAATCGAGATAATTACCACTTGTTTTATATAATATATTTTACAGTTCGCAGATTCGTGACTGAGTTCGGGGAAAGAAAAATTGAAGATAAACCGATTATCTTAACTCTAGATTAACGTGTCGTTGATATGACAACAGAACGTGTTAATATTGTATCCTGTCAAATGTAAAACGCTCGTGTCATTTATCATACCCTTCCGTTTCATTTTTCATCATAAAAACTGGTTTAGCAGCGCACGTGAACTTACACGTCTTCCCTGTGGTATATACGAAATTGAGAAACCGTGTAAAAATCTCGTTACACATACAATACACGTACATTTTACTATCCTCTCCGTGCCTCATTTCATTTTGTCTAATATCGATCTCCATCGTAACACGTAAAGTCTCTCGTAAAATGATTACGATCGAGCGAACAATTATATACGTAAAACATTTAGGGTATCCAGCTTTCTCACGTGCTAAGAACGATTAGAGATCGTTCGTGGATTTTTTTTTAAAGTAACATGTTCTCTAACAGGTGTATTTATATACGCGAAAATTAAATAGCTTGGATCATAGCGTATAATCTAATATCGTCGCTGAGACTGGGCGTTTTGGTAACCAGCACTGCCACCTGCAAACAACCATAGCTCCTCCGTTCAATCATCTTGTTAAGCATTATAGTTTCGATGTGTGTTTTATTTTTTTTTTATTTTCTTTTTCCTTCTAACGTGCGTTCTGTATTTCATTTACGTTACGCGAGAAACACTAGCCGTCGCGTGGAAGTTAAGGAATATACGTACGTGTATCGTTTGCTTACTTTTCGCTTTCTTTTTGTCTTTACTACACTAAATAGCTGATTGTTCTCGTCTGTTTGTGACTCATTAGCGAGACTAATCGTTTTCTTTAAAAATTGCAAATAACGTTGCACGCTTTTGCGTTTGTTCATTATGAATGCAAACATGTAGCACAGTATAAGAAATTCACAATGGGACGTATTGTTCGGTTTCTTTTAAATATGTCTTTTTTTTTCTTTAAGTTTCGTTAGACTAACAAGTACCGTCATCTTTCTCAGCGGTTTCTTAAAACTGATCCTAAACACTTTCGCGATTGCGACGTCTCACAAGTTAAAAACCTCGTCTAGATTGTAAACTGTACTTACCATAATCCTGTTTGCCGTATACACCTTCTTGACTCGAGTAATCTGCAAGTAGAACGAGCCAGGGATTAATGAGAGTGATAATTGGTGACGAGCCGATTTGTTTCGGACCCGACGGATGGGACTCAGGCGATAAGGCTCAGAGAAAAGTCTGAAACTTGTCAGACCGCGATATTCGGTCGATGCACCTAATTAACATATGTCTGACCAAGCATAAAAATACTGATGGGTGGTATGTAGTGTCAGTCTGGAGTGAAGAATGGCAGGAGGCAGTGAGGCAGTGCTGGTATCTGAAGGAAACTCTCTTTTTCAAGTTCCACATTGTTTCTCCGCCTGATCGAATTTCGCTCGTTCCCACAGCTCTTAATTAAAAGCAGTTCCGAATTTGAAAACCGACGAGGAACAATGGAATCGTCAAGAGAAACGTTTCTCGTCTGAATCGATACGCGATCTAACGTGGAAGCAAACAATTGGACAGATAAGCTTTTCCTCCTTGGTTCTCGTTTGCCAACGAAACCGAGGAAAAGATTAAGAAGACGTGAAATAATGTGTGGTGTGTTCAGGCGGAAGGAACTAACCATAGAGTTGTGTCGAGTAACCACCCCTGTTGCTGACAGAAGCGCTATTAGAAGGTCGGTCATCATAGGGGTTTACAGAGGCATAATCTGTACCCCCACCCCCAGCTGCCACTGCCTCCTGCTGATAATTCACTGTGCATGCAGTACAGATCATGTGTTAATTCATTCTCGCAGTCCACATACTCCTCTACTTCACCCGAACGTTCTCGTTATTCTCTTTTCTCAACGATTTCGAACCGCCGACCAACTCTATCGACTCGGTTTATGCTTTGCAACGTGTACTAACCTGATGGTGGTGCTTTGCCGTAACTGTAAGGATCGCCGGTGCTGAAAGATCCCGTTGCTGGTACACTGGGCGCTCCTCCGTACCTGCTATCGGCAGCCGCTGGCGGTGGATAGCCCTGAACACGAGAACACTGATCGTTTCGTTCATTTTATCAATTGCTAAATAAATAAACAGGCAGAATTTAACTCACAGCTGTCTGACCGTAGTCCGGTGGCTGTTGATAGCTTTCGTAGCCTTGATACGAAGACTGAGTATAATTCTGCGAGCCATAACCGCCACCGTATCCCACAGACTGTTGTTGCTGCGGTTGCTGTTGTCCTCCACCATACGTGCTAGCGCCTCCTCCGTATCCCCCTTGGCTACGTTGTAATTGAACGTTTACGATGATGAAACGATTTCCATTTAAATGATTTCAAGTCGACAATTACCTCGGAGGTTGAGTAGCATAACCGTTCGCGGATTGCGAGGACGGCTGATCGAATCTCGGTCGCTTGGAAGGCCCGCTTGAACTGAGTGGTCCACCTCCTCTCTTTGATGGACCGCCACGTCCGCCGCCTCCTCTGCTACCACGGTCTCCGAAGCCACCTCTACCTCCTGGGCCACCTCTGCCGGATCCCCTGAATCGGTGGAAAAGAATTTGAAGAAACGTAGTGTATGTTTATTCAACCCTTTCAGCGCTGAACAACCAATAAACAATTCTGATGGTTAAATGGTTTACCTAGATCCTCCTCTGCTGCCTCTATCCATGCCTCCACGTCCACGGAAACTGCTGCTACCTCCACGACTGTCTCCTCTGTTGAAGTCACCTCGTCCTCTACTATGGAATCCACTGCTTCCACCTCCTCTGCTGCTACCACGTGGCGGGCCTCCCATTCCCAATGGTGGAAGGCCACCACCACCTGGGCCATTAGACATTCCCGGCTCTGGTAGACCTCTGTCACGGAAAGAAACGTAAAGAAAATAATAGAAAATAATAATTAAATAAAAAGTAATTTGCTGTGCACATACCCTGGTGGGAAGTGACCTCCACGACCACCTCTACCAGGAGGGCCACCTCTGTTCCTCATACCAGGTGGTCCACCTCTCATGACCCTGCCTGGTCCACTACCTCGGCCACCTCTCATCATTCCTCCACCTCTCGGAGGTCCACCCCTATCCAAATACATTTAACAGTTTATATATACCTATACGTGTACAAAGGTTGATACTCGAGTGTTCACATACCTGCCCATATCTCCGAAACCACCGCGTCCTCTCATCGGACCACCACGGCTACCTCGAAAACCTCCTCTACCGGCTGGCGCACCCTCCATTTATAAGTTTATCTAAGGTTTCCAGTAAAATTTCGTAATGAGTATTAGGAATTATGTGGGCACAACGTAGAGACGCTTTGTACGATTTCAATGGACCGTCGACTTTCTCCGATTTAAAATCGTACCCGCAACGGGAAGAGACGTTGAACGGTTAGATAAAGAAATCTAGATAAAACCCACGTTATGTCGCTATCTGGATATACTTACGTTTCACTTATTGTAAAACAATCCGTTCATAAATACAAGACGCGCCAATGTTAGACAAGCCAACAACGAAAATGGACGCCGGTTGCCGGAAAAAGAAGCATCGACCACGACAACTACACCGCTCAAATTAACACACTGACTTCAACGGATATCCGCCTTGTTACGCGGAGTTCTCATACATGTCATCGCTATTCATTTTTATAAGTAACAACGATCTCGTCAAAAATTGTATTGTATTTAATAAGAATAACAAGGTAACTTACATTTTCTTTTCCGCTATTGTTAGCAAGATACGTTTCTCATCGAATTACCTCGTTGAATTCTCACGTTAGGGAATACGTCTCCGTGTAAGATTATAGGCGTGAAATTCTTCAGACAAGTCTTTACCCACGGTCTCATATGTTCATCAAACGTAATTGATTTAAAGTTAAAAGCAAATTGCAAATCAAATTTTGTAGAATTATTCGTAAAATTGATGGTGAATTATATAGGAAAATTATGATTTTACGTCTAGAGAACAGATAACCCTAGCTATTGGCAATACAAATGGGGAATCTCATGATTGGCCAGGAAAGTGAGATTTAAATATTGAAATCCGTTGCTTACCCGTAAGACTGTTGTAAGACAAAAACAGCGATTTGTATTTGGGAGGAAACTTCGCCGTGGATATACTTCTTTTTGTGAAAGATAGTTGCAAGGAACGCGACCGATATTGACCGCAACGCGAGGCTCCACGTTACGCACTGCCGAAATCAGCGAGGAAGAATAGTAAAAGATGTCGAAGGACGAAAAATGCGTTATACCAGACGTGATACTCGACGTAAAGTCTGGAAAAAGTTACATCAAGGGTCGATTTTTTGGAAAAGTAAGTCGTACTATGAGATTTTATGTTTTCCCGTGAGCATGGAAGGTGTGACGGTGGCTAAATGTACCCTCATTTTCGGACTAGTGTATCCAAAAGACTAGTTAATTCTGTGTACGCGTGTAGGACGACCTATCACGTGTTGCTCTGGCTGCGATGTATTTTACGAAAGTTTTGATACGTGTGCTACAGAAAATAAATTTTTTCCGTCTTCTTCTGCATCAAATATCGAATTTATCAAGTGTGTATGGGTTTTTAATTATTAGAGAATTCTGATAAATCGCCTGCATGACTTTATAATAAGATTCTGACACCATGTGCTGTTCCCTGTACTCGGTATCTGTTAACGTGCATCTTCCCCACAGGGTGGTTTTGCAAAATGTTACGAGATCAGAGAGTCGAAGAGCCATCAAGTATATGCTGGAAAGATTGTACCTAAATCGCAGATTACAAAGAACAATCATAGGGAGAAAATGACACAAGAGATTTCCATCCACCAAACTTTAAAGCACCAAAACGTTGTGGGTTTCTACGGTTTCTTCGACGACACACACAACATTTACATAATCCTGGAGCTATGCAGGAAAAGGGTAAACATCGTTTGATAATTCGTCGAATTGGCAAAGGTGCACGTGTTATTAAAGTAGTTGTGTTTTCCAGTCGATGATGGAGTTGCACAAACGCAGGAAAGCTCTGACAGAATGTGAAACCAGATTTTATATGAAGCAAATTTTAGATGGCGTGAATTACTTACATCAGAATAAAATAATTCACAGAGATCTAAAATTGGGCAACTTGTTTTTAAGCGATGAACTGCAGGTAAAGATTGGTGATTTCGGATTGGCTACCAGACTGGAGCACGAAGGGGAACGTAAAAAGTAAGTGTCTTCACGTCCGTTCGAATGTGTAACAAAAAGCTGAGCCGTTTCTACTTTCGTGATAGGACTTTGTGCGGTACACCGAATTACATAGCACCCGAGATCCTGACTAAAGCGGGTCACTCGTACGAAGTCGATATATGGAGTATCGGATGCATCATGTACACGTTACTTGTAGGAAAACCACCTTTCGAAACGACGAGTCTGAGGGAAACCTATGCCAGGATCAAGCAGGTTCAATACAAGATTCCCAAAGACATCAATCCGATCGCTATGAACATGATAACTAACATGTTGCAAGGGAATCCAGCGAAACGTCCATCGATATCGAAGCTGATGAGAGATCCGTTCTTCTCTTGCGGTAAACATCTGATGTTCTATGATTCGTATCGCGATCGAAACTATCTTCGTCAGTTGATTGGATCTGTTGATATTCGTCACAGGTTTCATGCCAACGAGTTTACCATTGTCGTGCCTGTCCATGGCACCTCGCCTGGACGCGCTGGAACAGTACAACCGTAAGCCTTTGTCGGAAAAGAACATGAACGTCGGGGGAGAGGGACAAGACTTCATTTTTCGCGTGCCCAACAGTCCAGCGCGGAAAACGAAACCCCTGGATTCGGCGAACGAAGTTCAAAGGATGAACGTAGATATTAGAAAGATGCTTCAGACGCTGAGCCTGCAACTGGCCGCGGTATTAAAATCGAAACCGACCAGAGAGACAACGTCGTTGGCAGGTACAATCATCAAGGGATTGAGTATTATTATCGGTTTTTGCGTGGAGGTTGTCGTTCGTACTGATGGAAATTATTTCCTGACGCAGAGTATTCAAGACCCTGTTCGACTTTTGCGGTAACCTCAGGCACGAGTCTCGACTCCCTTATAATCTCACGTCTACTAAGCTCGATCTTTACTTTCCAATTACACAGAATCTGTTCTTCGTTACCTTACTCATTGTTTTTAATGATTGCGTAGATGAAATGACAGACCCGGACGCGCAGCCGGTGATATGGGTAAGCAAATGGGTCGACTACTCGGATAAATACGGCTTCGGATACCAACTATCGGACGACGGTGTGGGCGTCATGTTCAACGATGGCACCCGATTAATAATGCTAGCCAACTGTTTTAATATTCATTATATTAACCGCGACGGAAACGAATTGTATTATACCGTCATGGAGTATCCGCCCGAATTAGACAAAAAAATGAGACTGATGAACTTCTTCCTGAAATATATGAAGGAACACTTGATGAAAGCCGGAAGTTCGGTAGCCGTAAAACCGTGTGACTCCATGTCCAGGATACCATACATGCATCAGTGGTTCAGAACGCAGAGCGCTGTAGTTATGCAATTGACCAATGGGACAGTACAAGTGAGTCGGATACACCCTCATCACCTTTCGGAAATTGAAACGAAAAGGTCTGACAAATTTCGATTGATTTCGTAGATAAATTTCTTGGACCACGCGAAGATCATCATGTGTCCGTTGATGGCAGCCGTCACGTACATAGATACGGAGAAGAATTTCCGGACCTACAGATTCCAAACTATCCAAGAGAACGGATGCTGTAAGGGTTTAGCCAAGAATCTGGAGTACGCCTACGAGAAGCTTGTGCTGATGTTGTCGAATCCTCAGACTCGATAATTATGCAGGCAAATATCAATCGATTTAAGGAGAACACAATTCTGATACACAGTATATTTTAGAAGTATTATGCTTTTTTTTTAATAAGAGAAACTGCCTTTATACTGGGCGAACAGCAGATACGAAGTAAGTAGTTTATTATTTTATTTTTACTTTATTTTGTAGAAGTATATCAAACCTTTACCAGACATTTTAATCTCGCAAGATTCGAAGGGAGCAGACGTATTATGCTCAGGATTTGATTTCTCGTAAGGGTGCCTATCGTTTCCTTGAAAAGACGTCTCGTAAATTTTGCACCCTGTTCTCTCTTTTTTTATAATCACAGACAAATCGTAGTTGTAATTTTGTTTCATGTACTCTCGTGTCGTTGAGCGAAGTTTTATAAACGAACAAGCATTCAACAAGTTACTTTGCCACGATAATTGCTACTTCGTATAAATATGTAATTGTATAGCGTGAAAATCTATAGCAGTTGGTTATCGTTGCTTTCGACGAAGTAGTGCAATCTAACAATTGTTTGTTTATTTAACATGAGAGGATAAACAAGTGGCCTTAATCTTTGACAATACTCTTACTGCCTCGACATTCCAATATTAAGACATTATCTTTACATGATCCGATTTTCGATCATTAAGCCCGGTAATGCGCGCGTGTGCGCCAGATGAAAAGTGTTCAAATTATTTTGACTGCGAGAGATAACAAAGTTTTTAATAGTAAAATTTCTAGTAAGGTACCTAAGTATGCGAAGTGGAATGGAATAAACGCGGATCGTCGAAACAATTATATAAGACTTGAAACTCATATTCTAAGTGGAGCGTCGGACGAGACGCTAAGTAACACGTTTCCAAAAAACATACAATGCTTTACGGCTCATATCTTTTGTGTCCACCAATTTAATCTCAACGGGCCAGAAGGGTATGTCAATAGTCATCCCAAAACGCTTGTTTTACGACCAAGTAAATCCAGACACCAACATCTGCTGACCAGAGGTCATTTGGGCCTCAGGTAAAAAGGGCTCCTACGCGGGTCCCCCATCGGCCACGGTCACGACTTCCAGTTTTTTCCTCATTGGAGGAATAACAAGTATGCAATTTTGTCGCATGCACTTCGGAAGACAGGCACAGCCAATCAAGAAGAACGAGAAACTAGATGCCAGCAGACAGTTTTCTCTAGAGTCAGTCAGCTCCGACAAAGAGCCAAGGAACCATCTCGTAAAATATTTGTACACGAAGTTCTAGAATAAAAGTTTTCTTGTTTTCACGTTACACTTAATCCAACAATCAATCAATCCATCATTCATAATCAGCGGTAGCCAGTTAAGTTGTATGCCGCAGTCACCGTCCGATACCGTCGCATCAACGCGCAAAGCCTTTGGTAATTCAATTTTAGAATCGCGGAATCACGGTACGAAACACTAAGTATTACTTAAACTAATTGTAGGAACGAGCGAACGATATATTTTCCAATGTACATACAAATGCCAGCATCCTGAGGTACTATACACGATGCATCTCGTATTAACCATTTATTGTATTAAAAATGCGAAAAAATTGTAATGGTAGTATTATTTTTGTAAGTAGCCTACGGCATTGTTTTGAAAATAAACTAAACTTGTTTGACTCAGTTACATTTACCATTTACGATAGTCTCGACAAACTGTGATCTATAGATTCTTCGAATAGACATGGAAGGGTACATCTTCGCCGGCGACGTCGCCAGATTGGACCCAGGCCAACGCACAGGTTAGATTGTTATATATAATTCTGACACGTATGACAATTTTAATTATTGTTTCAATCTCAAATCTTTTATGATAGGATTGTAAAAAGTCTCTCGTTCACGCAGAAGCTGTGAGTAAAATAATAAAAGAGAGCGTAAGAAAAAACCGTGTCATCAAGTACGGCTCTTGTTTAATTTGATATGGCAACAGATTAGCTGGAATCATAAGTTATCCAGAAATTCGTAAAGTACTTATATATCATTATAGAAACAATATAAGAATGGAGCATGTTAACGATGAAATGCAACTATGCAACTGTTCGCGGCGTTGGCATACGTCAGAGAGGAAGGAGAAGAGAGAACGAAAGAGAGAATCGTGTTAGTGGTGTGGTTGTTTGTCAAATTCGGTTCAGTTCAGTAGCGGTGCAGGCTTTGCGCCAAGCACGCGTACATGTACATGTGAGTCCGTTCAATCCGTTGACGCGTGCTTCTACCGAAAACTAAACCTAATTTATAGAATGTGACAGCGATATTATTTGGCACAACAGTGATATTATTTAGCCGAAGAGAGAAGGAACGATCACGCGATTAAAACAGTGAGTAAAACGAATCCTCCGCATAGCTATTTAGTACATATCGTATAGCGTACAGTATCTATCGAATATGAGTGTGTTCAATTGTTTCTTATCGAAGTTCCCCTTCGTATCGCAGCGAATGTTCGTACGAAATGAAAATACTACGTTAACAATTAAAGAGACGGACGACGTCGCATTCTTGCCCCTCGAGTTGAAAATATCCCAGTTAGATCATTCCCAAACGAAATAGATGGTTGAGTAATAAACTGGTTTCGAATGGATTTGGATGGATAATCTATGTACGATGATAACGCTTTCACATGTATGGGAGTATCTTTTTCATTCAAAAGTTCGCCTGGCACGAACGAATTTTACTGTTCGACGTCGGGGAATGGAGAAGCACGTGTCTTTCTGGGAAACAGGCGCGTGTCCCAGAAAGTAAACGCTGATTCAATTTACCGTTGGCAGCTAGATCATTGGCTGCCACGAGTATTTAGTGATGAGGAGAAATACTTTCGACGAGCGCGTACATCCATACAAGATGTTACGTTGCGATTTCTCTGCCGCATTAGCCGCGAAGCTATTCTTGCACACATTAAGTCGAACCGAAAGCGAGAGGGAGAGTATGTATCATCAGAGTGGACGTTACACATCACGTGTCGTCCACAATTGACCCATCCTCAGCCTCTTTGCCACAATAATTTCGCGTGGCATCGGTTTAACGCGACCATTAGCTCGTTGGCTCCTCGCGGCCATCATCGTTACACAACTAAAAGACGGCTGCTGTCAATTATTAAATAGCGTCTTCGAGATCAACAGCGGGACAATAACTGATGGGAGAATTATTTTTAGACTTAGATAGTGGGTAAGTTTTTATCAGTACTCGCTTTCCTTGAAACCGCGTGGAAAATTGTTTCGCGGTACAATTATACATGTACTACGAGTGCCACTGATTCGCTGTAGCGTAGAAGCAGCTACTTAGATCGACGAATCGACTTCTGGTTGCATAACCAGTCGTTTCAATTGTTTCTGATGAATGCTCTCGTATCGTTTCAACGATCGTTGATTAGTTTATTTCATGTCATCTTATTATATCGTTCCCCTTGCACAATGTACATGTAACTGGCTCGACAGTCTCTGTCTTTGTCGTTTTATAACAACAGTCAGGATGTCGCTAATTACGAGATGACGAGAGCGATTCTTATCAAACTTTCCAAAGTTGTCATTCGATTGATCGTACGTCGTGTATTTCCGTCTACGTAGCACGCGTGTCGTTTCGCTCGCACAAGTTTGCCGAAGCTTTGAAAACCGCAGAGGGGATCGACGACGCGGCGGTTCGTTTACCTTCGCGGCTACTTGTTTTGCGACACGGCCCGTACACATCCGCGTGCATTGGAAGTAACAATTATAGTGCCACGATTAAGTTTGTCGATACGATCGAACGTCATTCAATAACGCGTCTCTAGCTTCGTCCAATGATAGCTGCAATTATCGTGAAACCACGCGATCTTCCCAGCGTTCAACGCTCTCGTACTTCAACGTAAATCAAACTGTAACGTGCTAAGTATAAGTTTGCGAACGTCACAGGCAGCGTTGATAATTGAGAGTAGATGACTGTAAGAAAGTTTACAAGATTGATAAGCAGTATAATAAACGTCATGCTGTCGCTTTGAATTATTACAGGGTAATTATTGTCGACTCCACGAAGAGAAATATTGCGAAATTATAAGAAATACGAATTGTTTTCACGCGGACTATTTTAGCCGACACCGTAGATAAAGTGATGGAAAGCTTTTGAGACTGTACATATAAATTGGATATTAACAGTTCCGAGGACGCACGCTTATTTTTAAGAATATGACACAAGATTATATAAGGTGTAACAATTGTATTTGATGTTATGGTCAAACCTTATAGAATTCTTTGCTGAATAATCATGACGTGTGCAGTTTTACTCGCATGGCAGACTCGTGCACCGTGAGCCAATGATGCACTTCTCTCCGCGCTCTTACAATTAGAATCGCATACAGCGGAAGATTTATCTTGCTTAGATAAGAATTTCGCGTCTTAAACGCGGCCATTCTTGTTTCTTCGTCGAATACAACGTTAGAAATTACTGCTGTTTCTCCTATTGCTCATACCTCTGACACAATCATCGATCGTCCGACATAAATTTCTGCGCAAATTATGTTAATAGATCGACAGGTCGTTTCCGTTTCCTTTGTAACTGAAGTAAAACCGTCTCCGCTATGTTACCCTTATTCTATGAAACTTCCTTATTAACTTGCCATGCGTTATAGTTACGCGCCAGGTGTTATCTTTACATCGTGTTTGAACACGACTTTCGACTTGCGTCGACATCTCAAAGAATCTGAAAGAGAAAAAACACGCGGTTGCAGCAAATTACTCAACTGTTACGAATCACGCGTCTCAGCAGGTTTAACACGCCTGATGAATTACAAATCGCTTTGCGAAATTCACTGCGACACGAGATGACAGAGGCTGATCATACAAGGTCGAAGATTAAAGATGATAAAACAATGATTCTTAGCGCAGTGTAGTTTGAATTAAGGAGTGTTTGCTTATTTATTTTGCAAGCATGAACTAACGAGCAATAATACATACATTATTGACAATCCGATAATCCGCGAGGAAACTTACATTTATAACTCGAGGAGATAAGAATTATCGAATCACGATTTCTCTATCGAATTTATTGATTCCACGTGTTAGCCGGTGTACCGGCTCTAACCTGACTTCCAGGTCACCGAGACCACCTCTTATCGGTTTCATCTGTGTCGAAAACTCTTTACCAAAGATAATACACCCTGTGTACAATCGGCAGATGAAAGATTATATTTAACTCCTTGTCAGCGACACAGTCTCTTAGTGTAACATTACGTACATACACGCCACGCGTGTAACACGCTACGTACGCGAAAACATGGTACAGCCTTCGTTCGTTGTTTAACCAGTGACGAAGCAAGTAACGAGATAAAGAGACGATTCGAAATCTGTTGCATTATCTCTTTTTGTCTTAAATACAGGTGCTCGAACGACACGTGCCTTATTCGAAGATCTACGAATCGGTCGAACGATCCTGCAGTCAGAAAGATCCTTGGGTCGCCCGGCTTCTTCGACGATTCACTCTGTGTACAGGGAACAACCGATTCATTCCGAGATTATTTATTACATCTGTTCAGTGATCTTTAAGTGATTGTAATTAGTCTGTTCTCGAAAGGGGCTCTCGAGACGATAAACTACTTGAACGATAAGCCACTCGTTAGTCAAGCACGCGGATTGTTTTCACTTACTCGATATATAGATCTAGCTTCTTCGCGCGTGTAGTTTCGTTTTCAAGGATTTATTTGAGTGGAGAGTTAATGCGGGGCATCGAGGAAGATGGACTCGAGCAGTGTCAAGACGAAACCGAATCCACGGGAAAGGGCCACCTTACTGTCGGTGCTGTTATGGTGGTAAGTTTTCGTTCATCGACAGGAGAATTTAAAAAGATAGTAATCGTACGACTCACGACAATGCGAATTACGCTAAATGACTTTGCGTTCGTTAAATTACCACCGTTTAGTTTTCTTATCATCGGATGAGACTAATTTTCTGATATGAATAGACACGACAATGTTGCAACTCCAACTTCAGAGTTCTCCTTTTTTCTTCTAACTCAGCGCTAAGTTCCGAACGTATTTGACAGATTTATAATTGAATATTCGGAAGATATAAAGAATTAAAAGTGCCCGTGCATTCTTTTACTAACATGTTTTATTTTGCATGAGACTCTCGTCTAATGATAAACATACGAAATGCTCATTGCTTATGAACGACTACCGCTTAATCCCGACCGGCTGTTCTCAATGATGAATTATCGTATCGATTTGAATAACGTGCAGGTGGACGATAGATCTGTTCAAGACAGGCTACAGGAAAATTCTGCAAACGGACGATCTCTATAATCCTCTGAAGACCGATCGTTCGCACGTTCTCGGGGACCGATTAGAAAAGTTAGTATCGCGTCTTTAGGCGTCTGACGAATGCCTGATAAAACGTGCGATTTGCAGACGATGGAGAATCGAAGTGGAGAACGCGAAGAAGCAGAAAAGACAGGCCAGTTTACTGAGAGCTATTTTTCGTACCTTCCTATGGGAATACTCGCTGCTCGGCTTGATGCAGATATTGAACGAATTTATTATCCGGTATATTTTATTTCTTTTCCCAATTGAACTATTTCGTAATCGTTACATGTACAACAAAGAGAGAGAGAGAAAAAGCATCGATCTGTACTGTGTTCGAAGCTTAGGGACGCCGATGCTGCTCGGAGGACTTCTACGGTATTTCAAGAAGGGTACGACCGAAACGTACGAGGCCGCTCTACTTTATGCAGGCGGGATTTGCATAGCAACGGCCGTGAACGTTGTCACGCTGAATCAGGCGATTTTCGGCGCGTTCCATGTCGGCGCTAGAATTAGAGTCGCTACCTGTTCCTTAGTTTACCGGAAGGTAAAAGTCCATTTCAGCGACGCATTAATTTGAAAAATTGATTTTTGTTTACGCGTTATAGGCATTGAGACTCAGTAAGACGGCGCTGGGAGAGACTGCGCCCGGGAAGGTGGTCAATCTGGTAGCCAACGATGTAAATAGATTCGATCTCGTTTCCATTTTTATTCATCATATGTGGTCCGCACCACTTTCAGCAATCATCATAGCATACTTCCTCTATACCGAGGCTGGATACGCCGGACTAATTGGCATAGCTGCGGTATTCGTAGTCGTCCCGATTCAATGTGAGTCCCGACTTCATATAAAATGCTTCTAGGGCAACGCGAGTTTAATTCGCGATGTATGTTTCAGCGTACACGGGAAAGCTGTCTTCCATCTTCCGTCTGCAGACGGCCATAAAAACCGACGAGCGTGTACGCTTGATGGACGAGATAATATCGGGAGTTCAAGTGATCAAAATGTACGCTTGGGAGAAACCGTTCTGCGCCCTCATCGAGACCGCCCGTAAATTGGAATTGCGAGTGGTGATCAAGAGCGCGTACATCAGGGGTATCTACATGACGTTCAACCTGTTCACCACGAGGATGGCGCTCTACTGCACCCTGATCAGCATGCTGCTGTTCGGGAACGAGTTGACCGCTGACAAGGTGTTCGTGTTCTCCTCGTACTTCAATATTCTCGCACACACCATGTCTGGGATGTTCGTAAGAGGATTCGCAGAGATCGCTGAATGCATGGTGTCCGTCAGGAGGTTGCAGCACTTCATGATGTACGAGGAGTTCGAAGAGAATCGACTCAGCTTCGGGAAACTCGCGGCCAGCTTAAACGGGAGCATCAACAGCGTGTCGAAGCAAGCTTCGAACAGGACCTCGAAACACGATATACCGTACATCGACGACGAGGTGGAAGGCTACGAGAACTTGGACGATTCCTCCGAGAAGAGGCGACACAACGGTCTAGTGGTCGTCGCTAGCGATCTGCTGATGAACACGGCGAATCTCGTTGAAGGTGAGCATTTCTAACGTGTTCGATCCATTCTTTTCTTCAGCTTCTCTTCTGTACTTTGATCGCAGAAAAGAAACGGTCTTCGATAGCGAGCGACGAACCGTACGCCGTGAAGATGAGTAACCTGACAGCGAAATGGGAACCGAGCCAATCGGAGAATACTCTCGAGGTCCCCAACTTGGAGATAATTAAAGGAAAGATATATGCGGTAATTGGCATGGTGGGCGCTGGGAAGAGTTCGTTCCTGTCCGCGATTCTCGGAGAGGTAGACGTGACGGGAGGATACGTGAAAGTAAATGGTACTGTTAGCTACGCTGGACAGGAATCTTGGGTTTTCGGGTCCACCGTTAGACAGAACATTCTTTTCGGGCAGCCGTACGATCGGCACCGATACCAGAAAGTCGTCAAAGCTTGTTCCCTTCAGAGGGACTTCAAGCAGTTCACGCAGGGTGATCAAACCGTCGTCGGAGAGAGGGGTAGCTCCTTGTCCGGGGGACAGAAGGCTAGGATCAATTTAGCTAGATCGTTATACAGACAGGCGGACATTTACTTGTTAGATGATCCATTGAGTGCTGTGAGTTTCTTCGAATTAGAACAACGTCAAAGTTGAACGAATTCGTGTCATACTCGGACAAATTTCAGGTCGATACTCATGTCAGCAAGCATTTGTTCGAAGAGTGCATTCAAAGATATTTGGCCGGGAAGACGAGGATCTTGGCTACTCATCAATTGCAGTACGTGAAGAACGTAGATGCCATAATAGTTATAGATCAGGGAAAAATCACGTTGTTTTCTCATTATCAAGATCTGTTGAGTCAACGACCGGAATACGCCGAGTTGTTGGCGGCAGAGTCGGAAATGAACGAGGATAGCTCTTTGGAGAAGAGTATTATGAGAAGGCAATTTTCCTCGTCGAGCACCAGAGTGAGGATCCCAGCTAGTTTCGTGATTTATTTTTATTTTCGTGATCTATTCGACAACTTCCTGATTGTTGGAACAGAGTCGAACACCAGAAGCGAGCACCGGGGGAACGGACGACGAAGAGGAGGACGAGGACCCTGAGAAATTAGTCGACGGGTTAGAGGGAACGTCCCGCGGGCTGGTCAAGGGGCCAATATTCCTGAAGTACTTCAAAACCGGTGCCAATATATGTCTGACCATTCCTCTGCTCTTCCTATTTATATTTACACAATTCATAGCCAGTCTTAACGATTATTTCGTCCCTATTTTGTAAGTATCAGAAATCGTTCTGTTCTCTCTCGCGGTCCAGCTTACGATCGATATTGACATTTTCAGAGTCAACGAAGAAGAAACGCGACACTTCCAATTGGCGCAGGCTGAGCTGAACGCCACTAATAATACCTCTATCGACGATTTGGGCATTTCGTCTGTGTACGATTACATATATGTCTACACAGCCATAGTCGTCGGTCTGTTCTGCATCGGTATTACCAGATCGTTGACCTTTTACAAAGTGTGCATACTCTGCAGTCAAAAGTTGCACGACATGGCGTTCAGCGCTCTGATTAGAACGGGAATGTCGTTCTTCGATGCGAACCCGAGCGGTCGCATCCTAAACAGATTCTCCAAAGACATGGGAGCCATCGACGAACTCTTGCCAAAGGCTATACTCGACGCCGGCCAGATATGCATGATGATGTTCGGATCGTTGACGGTGTCGTGCATCGTCAACCCTCTTTTCTTGATCCCCATAGTGTTTCTAGGCACGGTGTTTTATTGGATACGGAAAGTGTTTCTGAAGACTAGCAAGAACATCAAGCGAATGGAAGGAATGAGTAAGCGAGAGAAACCGACGATCGAACGGACGATCGAACGGACGATCGACGTGACGTCGTGATCGTGAACATTTTCTTTGTTACAGCCCGGTCCCCAGTGTTCACGCATCTGAATGCTACTTTGAACGGACTAGCTACCATAAGAGCGTATCGAGCTCAGGAAATACTTCGTAAGGAGTTCGACAAACTGCAAGACGTTCACACGTCCACCGTTTACATGTACGTGGTAGCGAGTACAGCCTTCGGATTCTCATTGGACATCTTCTGCTTCGTGTTCACGTCTCTGGTCACCTTCAGTTTCCTTCTGTTGCAAGAATGTAAGAATCCACGAACGCTTATTTTGTCACCGGTGAAGGAAAATGAAACGAGATCATGTTTCAGCGTTCTCCGGTGGCGAGGTGGGTTTGGCCATCACCCAGGTAATGGCTATGACCGGGATGATTCAGTGGGGCATGAGACAGAACGCCGAAGTCGCGAATCAGATGATGTCCGTGGAACGCGTGCTGGAATACACGCAGATCGCGCCCGAACCGAATCTACGCGACAGAGGAAAGTTTGCTAAGAAGACCGAGACGCAAGACGCGCTTCCCGCGAACGCGCCCAAGAACTGGCCCACCAACGGGATGATCAGGTTCAGGAACGTTTACATGCGATACACGGATGACGATCCTCCGGTACTCAAGGGATTGAACATCGTCATTAATTCTGGAGAAAAGGTATGCGCTCTTTTTCAATCTTAATATCAACACGTCCGACGATTATCGGGTAGATAACGCGGGACAACTAGTTTTAGTATTTATTTAGACTATCGGTAGTATCGGTATTTATTTAGACTATCGGCCGATCAATCGATCGTTAACGGGATTTTCTTCGATGACAGCTCTGAGAACTTGAAGAGAAATATGAGACTTTGAAATATCTTGTAGATTGGTATAGTTGGAAGAACCGGGGCTGGGAAGTCGTCCTTGATATCGGCTCTATTCAGATTAGCCAAAGTCGACGGAGCCATCGAGATCGATGGTATAGATACCGCGTCGATCTGTTTAGAAGATTTACGTCGCAACATATCGATCATTCCGCAAGATCCAGTTCTGTTCTCCGGCACGCTGAGGCGCAACCTGGATCCCTTCAACGAGTTCTCGGACAAATCGTTGTGGGAAGTCTTGGACGAGGTGCGGTATTTAAAAGCAAACATTTCAATTCTCGCATTCTATTGCTCTTTCCGTTTTACCGCAGGTGGAGTTAAAGGATGCCGTAGTTACTGCCGGTACGGGACTGGAAAGTCGCGTTTTGGACAGAGGCAGCAACTACAGCGTTGGCCAGAGGCAATTAGTATGCTTGGCGAGAGCTATTTTGAGAAACAATCGAATATTGATGCTCGACGAGGCTACCGCGAATGTGGATCCACAAACCGACGCTCTGATACAACACACGATACGAATGAAGTTCGCGAAATGCACCGTCCTTACCGTCGCGCATCGATTGAACACGATTATGGACAGCGATAAGGTGTTAGTCATGGATAAGGGTCGCATGGCGGTAAGTGTATACAGAGGATCACGGTACACGATTAAAGGAATACAAATATCACGCTTCGTCTGTTTACAGGAATTCGATCATCCGCATATTCTACTACAAAATAGTTACAGCCACTTCACTTCGTTGGTGAGGGAAACCGACCGTGCTATGTATGATCAATTAGTGAAGGTAGCCAGGCAGTCTTACATAGCCAAATACGGGGAACGATGATCGTAGGTAGAGCGCGTGCAATTCGAAAGCGAAACTTCATTAGTTGGTTAGTCCTATCAAGTATTATTACGAGTTTCGAACGTAAGACAACAATGGAACGAACGTGTGTATTTGTATCTTCGATAAGTGATGACGATCATCTTCGATTCTACAGAGTACCTACTTATCAAACAAACGCGCTGCTGCGCGGCGCGCTTTCGAGTACTTATATTTTTTTACTCACACTTTTACACCGTCGGAAACCCGTTTATTGAAATTGCAATAGTTTCGTACGCTCGCCTTAATACCAAATAAACGATTTAGAAGGGGTAAGAGTTTTTATCGTTTAAGCGATATGTATATTAATTGTACAATTGCGATCGCCTCCTGTACATATGTACCGGAATGCCAGGCGACCGCGTCACGTACTTCAAACGGAAATTGTACTTTCTTAAAACTATATCGTTTTACAGATATAGCCCGTGTAACGTGCTTGATGCACGTGCCTATCTTGTATTAGAAAAGTAATCGTAAGAACAGTGATACACGTTTCCCTACTTTCCGGAGATTATCACGTTGTTATACTTTTTACCTACACTTATATGTTTACCGATCTTTATTGTATCGTACCGAACTGTGAATAAAACTATTTACTTTTGTACGCCTAGGAAGATATTCATTTCACTCACGGCGAAATGTATCCCCTTGCCTCTGAAAGCACTGCACGATATTCTACAACACACTATCCTGGTATCAAATGTGAGCGTAAGACGTTAATTCATTCACGTAGAATTACACTTTGATTACTTCGGAATTGCGTCATACTGAACTTTGTAGCCACGCGTGTTCAAACGATACAACGAGTGATCGAACGTCCGATTGGTCGACATCGCGTGTCACGTGCCGCGCTAATATTTCAAATCCGTATCGCGCGAAATTACAGATGCTACACTGAAATTGTCCTTTACGTAAACAGCGTTTTACGTTAAAGCATAATCGCCGAATTCATTAATCTACGGCTAATTTGTCTTACGAGACATCCCAAATCGATTTCAGCCACGATGACAACATTCTATGCGGCACAAATTGTCAAGGTTCAACGCTATTTACCATGCAGAATTTATCAGTCTATCGGTATAAATATACTTTGCAGCGGCCGCCGATAATAGTCAGGTAAGTGCACCTTCGAAGGAGACAGGCTCTTCGTTGATTGCCCATTTTTTAACAAAGAGATGGAGACTAAATTTTCGTACACGAGGCAAATTCCGCAAGAAGATGCAAATATTTTTAATCGATTGTGTTTCGGGTACGTACTGCGGTATTTGACAAAATTCTCATTACTCGTGACACGCTGGTGCGTTCTACGTTTGATTTTAGATGGTCGAGAGAGATATTTACAAAAGGCGCGAAGAGAGACCTCACGTTGTCAGATCTCTATCAACCCTTGACCGTGGACGGATCTAAGAAATTGTCGGATACTTTGGAAGAGTAAGCATCACCGATAGTTAATTGTTTAGACCGTATAAAATGTATGTAAATTGTTTTTTATCTAATTACGGGACGAAGTGATTAACATTTTAAACCGTTCGTCAGCATGAGTTCAAAATTTCCTAATCATGTTTTTCGTAGAAGCTTTGAATAACTAAATACGGAAAATAAAAGAATAAGAAACGGTTTCTACGCCTATTGAATGAACTCTTCCCGATGCATATGCGTCCGATGACGTCCAATAAAAAAGATTAATTGTTTAACTCGTTGCAGAAAATGGGAAGACGAGATACGAAAATGGAAGCAGAAGCAGAAAGAAATGGGCCACCAAGAAGATTGGGAGAAGAAAGGCGAGAAGCCCCGTTTGGAGAGAGCCTTGCTGCGGGCATTCTGGAAGGATTATTTAATCACGGGAATTCTTTCGTGCTTTCAATACGCCTGTCTGGGAGTTATCATTCCCCTGATGTCGTCCGCGGTGATCAAATACTTCAACACCAACGATGACACGAAGCAGATATCGCAGTCGGAGGTTTTATGTTACGCCGCTTACCTGATCATCTGCGAGTTGTTAGTCATTTTCGTGATGCACCATTGTGACATGAGATCGCAGCAAACGGGCATGAGATTACGGGTCGCTTGTTGCTCATTAATTTATAGGAAAGTACGTGTCTAATGTATTTCAGTACCAGTTTAATCAGTGTCAGCTAAGCGATTACTCGAAAGGACGCTCGTAATTTACGTAATTTATTCGACGATTACATATTCCGTGTTTTAATTAAAACTGTCCTTCAGAGTTACTGATAGTACCTGTAGTTTGAAATTAAAGTTAACAGAACGATGAGACATAATATTACAAGACGATAATATTAAATACGATACCTCGGTTTTATTTTCACACTGTTCTCTATGTTGTAGATTTTGAGACTTAGCAGAGCAGCATTTTTCAAAGTCAGCGCTGGCCAGGTGGTGAATCTACTGAGCAACGACGTCAGCCGGTTCGACGAGTTGTGCTTTTATCTCAATTTCGTTTGGATCACTCCGATTCAGGTAACGTGAAAGGATACGTTCATCTTCGTTGACATTTGTTATTTCGCATCGATTCCCATTTTCAGATTATCATTATCCTCGCGGTCACGTATCAGAAGGTGGGCGTCGCAAGCTTAATCGGTGTCTCGGTGCTCCTGTTGATGACGTTGCCGACAAACGCCGTGTTCATCTCGCTGGCCCACACACTGAGAGGGATGATCGCCTCGTCGACTGACAGGAGAGTGCAATTCATGAACGAGCTTATAAGCGGTATACAGGTAACCGGATTGAACCTCGTTGTTACTTTTAGTAAACCTCTTAATGATCAGTTTTAATCGATGGCGATCTCAGGTGATCAAGATGTACGCTTGGGAGAAACCGTTTCAGAAGATCCTCACGTTTATACGTTCTTCCGAGATAAGGAATATAGGATACTCGTTATATATGCGCGCACTGTATTTGTCGTTCGTGGTGTTCACGACTCGCGTGGTCCTCTTCTTGACCATTCTATCCTTCATTCTGCTGGGGAACAAGCCAAGGGCAGAACTGACCTTCATGCTGGCCACTTACTTCGAGATGATCCAACTGACGGCCACACTCTTTTTCCCACAGGCTCTCCTGTTGCTCGGAGAAACGTTGGTGTCCATCGAACGAATACAGGTTGTTTGACAGTCACTTACAACGAACGACTCCGTTCGTATATTTTTATTTCTACGCTGAACGAGAAATTTCTCTTAGGCCTTTCTGTTGCTAGAAGAAAAATTTAACGTGGAGCCAGTGTCCGATAAAGCTCGTCAGAACGGAGTGTTGAAGTTCAAGAAGAAGAAAATTGAGAAGGAGAACGTGGAGTCGATCAGAATGACGAACGGCAATGAAGGCTCCAAGTTGGAATGCAACGAGAAGTACACGCCGGTTTCGATAGAGCTGCAACGCGTGTCGGCTAATTGGATACCGGGCCAGTTGCCGCCGACTTTGTGCAACATGTCGATGACGATTCGCAGCGGAGAACTGTGTGTTCTGGTGGGACCAGTGGGCTCCGGGAAATCCTCGATCTTGCAGCTCCTACTGAACGAACTTCCCGTAGGTGCCGGGAGTCTGCAGTTCAAACGGAACGATTTGGGCTGCACGATAGACCCGTCGAATCTGAGAATCTCGTATGCCAGTCAAGAGGCTTGGCTGTTCTCCGGGACCATCAGGGAAAATATCCTGTTCGGACAGCCGTACGACAAGGACAGATATATGGCTGTAAGTTTCGACCGAATAGAGTGAAATCTTCCTCTTTCGTACGAATTGAATCGAGGATGGGGACGCTCGTTACAGGTAACGAGGGCGTGCGCCTTGATCAGGGACTTTCAACAGTTCCCGTATGGGGATATGAGCCACGCGGGAGAAGGAGGCTCTTCATTGTCCGGGGGACAAAGGGCTCGTGTTAATCTGGCACGAGCCGTGTATAGACAGGCGGACATATACCTTTTCGATGACCCGTTGAGCGCCGTCGATCCCCGGGTTGCTAAACACCTTTTCAACAAGTGCATCAAGAATTATCTCCGGGACAGGACAAGAATCATGGTCACTCATCAGCTGCAGTTCGTTAAAGATACCGACCAAATCGTTGTCGTGGATCAGGTAAATCGATCGACGCTCGCTTCTTTCAAGTTCGTCTGTTAAAAATTATTCTATTGTCGTCTGAAGGGTGTAATAAAGATGAGAGGAACCTACGACGAATTGTCCAGGTCTGAAGAGGACTTCGTAGAGATGATGGACCGTATAAAATCGTCGACGGAAGCGAAGAGGGCGAGCGAGTGCGTAGAAGCCGAGAACGAAAAGAGACTGAGTAGGAAAAGTCTCGGGAGAGCCTCGATAAAGTCCACCTCCAGCAGCGTGGTAATTAATATAATACCAAACGTTTTTAGCGAGTTTCTGAAACGAATGACAAAAATGAGTGGTTCGTAGGCTTCATATAATTACGAGAACAACGCGTTAGCCCCGGAGAACGAGGAAGCGATGGGACAGGGTGGCCTTTCGTACAAAGTCTACCAAAAATACTTTCAATTCGGCGGCTCTACCTTTATACTCTTCCTCTTGCTGGTCGTAATTGTCGTGTCTCAAACAGCGACGAGTGGTAACGATTATTGGCTTTCCTACTGGACTAACCTAGAGATAATCCGAAGCACCTTGGACAACAATACACGATCCTACAAGCCTCAGTATGCTTCTTACATATTGAACGGCACGTTTCTGTCCAACGTGTTCAGCTTGGATCAACACGGACTGATAAGCAAATCCAACGGCTTGTACGTATACGGATTTTGCATCCTCGCTTGTATCATAGGCGTCTCCGCTAGGAACATGTTCTTCATGAAGATCTGTTTGAACGCCACGAAGAATCTTCACCATTCTATGTTCACCAATATACTCCGAACCACGATGTCGTTCTACCATAAAAATCCTTCTGGTACTTACAGATACCTCCGTTCGAATTTCCCATACGCAACGGTATGAAAATTTTATCGTTGTCTGTTTACGCAGGTAGAATTTTAAACAGATTCTCGAAGGACGTGGGCGCGGTGGACGAATTGTTGCCTAAAGTGATTCTAGAGACCGTCCAGATATTCATGGTAATAGTAGGCGTCCTGATAATGATAGTAGTAATGAACGTTTGGATGCTGATACCGTTGAGCGTGCTTCTCGCTTATTTCTTCGTTATGAGGGTCGTCTTCATAAGGACTACGCATAGCATAAAGCGGCTCGAGGGTGTAGGTGAGCGTTCTGAGCTTCAATCTGCGACAGACCTTGAGATTGATCGAAGCAAACGTTTTCAGCGAAGAGCCCGGTGTTCTCTCATGTGAACGCGACGCTGAACGGACTGGTGACCATCAGGAGCAGCGGTGCAGAAACGATGACGCTCTTAAAGGATCAGTTTGACGATTTGCAAGATGTTCACACCGGCGCATGGTACATGACGATAGTCACACCCGTCGTCTTCGGTTTGTACCTGGACATAGCCGTGGTTCTGTTCCTCCTCTTCCTCTGCTTCTCCTTCATCCTGACGTACAACGGTAAGTGTTCGGTGAATGCATTCTTGTCGATTTGAAGTTTCACTCAGCAACGGTTCTGCAGAGAACACGCTCGGAGGTAACGTCGGTCTAGCCATATCGCAAGCGTTGATCATAGTCGGCACTCTACAACACGGAGTGAAGCAGAGCGGCGAAGTGCTCGCTCACATAACGTCCGTGGAGAGAATGCTGCAGTATACCGATCTGCCTAAGGAGGCCCCCTGGACCAGCAACAATCCTCCGCCAGCCGACTGGCCGAAGAAGGGACAGTTGAGCCTGAAGAACGTTAGCATGACGTATGAGGCAAACGAGCCTCCTGTGTTAAAGGTAATAAATACTTAAATTGTTTTCGGGAGAAGGTTCGAATTGGTTCTTCGTTTCCGTAGAACTTGAACGTAACGTTAGAGCCAGGCTGGAAGGTGGGCGTAGTGGGTAGAACGGGAGCTGGAAAATCGTCCCTGATATCGGCTCTCTTCCGGTTGTTCGACGACGGCTTGGAGGGAGAGATCAAGATCGATGATGTGAACACCAAAACGATCGGATTGCACGAACTACGTTCGCGGATATCGATAATTCCCCAGCAGCCGTTCCTCTTCTCCGAATCGTTGCGCTCCAATTTGGATCCGTTCAACGAGTACGAGGACGCGGCGCTTTGGGACAGCCTTCGGCAAGTCGAGCTGAACGAGATCGTGCTGGATCAGAAGGTGCTGCAAAGCGGAAGTAACTTGAGTATTGGCCAGAGACAGTTGATATGCTTAGCTAGGGCGGTTCTAAAGAACAACCGAATACTGGTCCTGGACGAAGCAACGGCTAACATCGACTCGCAGTAAGCGAAACGTTCAACTGTTATTTAACAAGTTGCAGTGTATCTGTGAAACGTGTCTCGTTAAATTTCTTGTTTCCAGCACGGATGAACTGATCCAGAGCACCATAAGAACGAGATTCGATGACTGCACAGTTATCACGATCGCTCATCGTTTGCATACCATCATCGATAGCGACAGAATCATAGTAATGGATGCTGGCCGAATAGTGGTACGTAGAACGGTAGCGTCAGTCATTTCGGTGTTAAAGTTTCGTCTGTCGAAACAGGAGTTTGGTTGTCCTTACGACTTGCTGCGGAACGAGTCGACGGGAATATTCTCGCAAATGGTGAAAAACATGGGCACGCAGATGGCCGAGTCTCTTCGAGAGCAAGCGGAGGCGGCTTGTTCAAAACACAGGAAACACAGAAGCGTGGATCTAAGCAGAAGGGACTCCTCCGAGGACGTAACAGTACGGAGTGCTCTGTAAAAATGTTAAATGAAATGTACAAAATACACGGCACCTCGGTGCAAAACGAACAGTACGATGAATACTTTGAATTTCTCGCATTTATTTCAAATTCAAAGTATCGATACAAATGTGTGTGTACGTGTCTTCTGTGTATGTCTCCGTTCGAGGGATACGAAAGATTCCCCTTGAACCTGTCCAAACGATAATTGTGAACGGCGGAAAAACTGTTTGTTGAAATATAAGTGTATCCGCATGCAAATGAATTTTCTGTTTAAACGAAGGGCAGCGATTCAGAATGATTTCACCCTATCCTGTTTCTCTGACTTATTTATCGAGGCAGTGACAGAACTTAAAGTACGTATATATGTACTATATCATTTATGTATGATCAGGAAGACTTCGAAACAAGTTGGGGAGACTTCTAAACAAGGAAGAAGAGCGGAGGAGGAAGTCGTTGAGAACTCGTGAAATTATAATTATTTCTACGTAATACTCTTTGGCATCTACCTATTTCTACGGTTGCAACCGGCGCTGGGCAAACGTTCACCATCGTGCCATTCATCACGGTGCGTACTTAGTTCCAACCGATGGATTCTGTTGATCGTGAGAACTAAACGAGCGAGCAAAGTAAAAATCTACGTACGCCCAACGCCGCCGCGTTTAAAACGTACATAATGGAATAGGTACATACGTTCCCCTTTACTTCTTCTTATTGTTAGGTGAAATTACACGTGACTCCCGATGTCACACTTACGTACGTAAAAGGCAATAAGTTCTGTACTCTATGTATTTTCCACGAGAGCGAACCCCCCCTTTAAACGACAGATTCGATTTTCGTTTCCTTCGTTCTACAAACGTTAAACGGATGCGTACGTACAATCATCCGAATACATACAAGTAAATCTTAAACTATATGTATATATATATTCTATGAGTGTATATATAATATTTAGATTTTTTTTACTCTTCCTCTTTAAGTAAATTCGTTACTAAAGTAGAGCCTAGTATATATAATTATAGGTACTCTTTTCCTCTTCATAAAATGTATTCCTCTCAAAACTCTAAATCGTTATCTGGATTAGAATAGTCTGAAGGAGGCGATCGTTAGTCGTCGGACTCCCTCATTAAAGTTTCTCTAATTCTCGCTACTTACATTCAACTCTATGTTACATGGTCTACGCGAACCGATACTACATACTCGGATTATATCCAAACACAGACGTACATATATTTTAAAGTAACACAGCCTGTAACAAACGAGAGATCATTAAGTTATTTACAGAAACGAAGATCACAGATCGATCAACGAAACGATCAGACAACGGAATTGTTCAAACTCCTCTTACGAATATCAAATCAGACTCGGAATTGGGAATACTTTTAGCGGACCATGATACACGCATACAGTCAGTTCTCTTAAAGTACGTAGAGGTGTGTATCTTTGGTATCGGAACACGCTTCTCGCATTTCAATCCCTTGCAATTACAATTGGAAACGAACGACTTATAACAGTAAAATATTTGTTAGAATTTCGTTTTTAGAATTCTCGCTGTCCTTTAGATAGAAACGAAGAATAATCAGCTTTGCAAGGAATCAGTCCTGCGCGTGATACAGAATCCATGTATGTTACTTCACCTACTCCGGCTCTAATTCGTGTTTTACATTTCCTAACCTCTAGATACACGATACATTAACGTTACTCTCAACAGCACTTATACGTTACGCAATCTCCCCTTTTGCCTTTTCTTCGCTTCTCTTTTCTTACTTAATCAATGCATCGCTTGCAATTTACTTTCAGTCCTTAGAGAGTGGTGCTTAATCGTTAATCCCTTAACCGACGATTCGTAACCTCAATATCTACAGTTATATAGTTGAATTAAAAACTATGTTTGATTTACTCATTTTCTTTGGATTGTAATTCGTCCACCTAATGTTTCGATTTTCCATTTAAAATATACGACGACGACGACGACGACGAATGCGATCACGAATCGATGTAGGCGAGCTCGCATCGCTTGTCTTCGTTCAGTTTAGTCAAATAATTGATACACACACGTATCAGTTGTTTGTGTCGTAACAACAATTATACTTTAATAACAACGTCTTAACATTATCGAGTGCTTTATATATATATATATGTAATAGTAAATTATATCGTTATCGTTACCCTCCAACTTTTTCCTCGTGTCACAGCTATTTTTAACCTTACCTCGTAAGAGTGCAACTATCAACTATAGTACTAAATATTGTATAACAGCGATTTTATGATTCTCGATTGATCTTCCATTTAGAACACACCCAGAAATATTCTATGATCCATTTCATATTTTTTATTCACACCGGCCATGTATATTTTCTTCGTTTCAATTGATTAATAAGAATATAATTTGCTACTCTGTGTATGGATCGTTGCAAACTGATCACTGTTCGATCATTACTCTTCAACGAAATATTAATCAGAATAAAGTGAAAACTGTTATATAATATTGTACCACTGATCTGTATAGAACACTGGACAGTGGACCTGTACTAGTGATAATAGCCCCAATCGAAATAGCTACGGTCATCTTTATTGAGACCTTTTTGGTCCTTCAGCCTGCACCCTAAACGTCTCGATAAAGATTGCAGTTTTAATTAGGGTCTTTATGTCATTAGTACACGATCACTGTGTTCTATAGAGATTAGCGTATCGTACCGTAAGTCTCAGCTAATTTTTTTTGTCATTTTGTCATTCCCTTTATTTTCTTCACAATCTCTTGTGCGCTGGAACTTCACCTACACAATTGTTCCCTTATAAGTGTAGTACTTTACAGTCTCCGTATTTAGAGCGAAACAAAAATAAAAGATATCAACAATATCAACATCGAGAGTCCCCCCGTTCGGTAAATTCAATAAGATCTTAAATAAGTGTCTTTAACTGCGCGTCATTATTATAATTCTTTGTTACCGTTAAATATATCCGAAGTAGTCACAAAAATATGTTTAAAGGTCGTTGAACACGTTTGAAATTAATCTTTGGCATTGTTCGTAGAATGTATGATTAATTTTGAACCACGAAACTCCTCCTTTCGTTTATGTTAAAACAGTACGAAACGGTTGATCTGTGCCGAGTACATTTTTTTACTTTGCTGCTAATCATGTGGTACGCGCTAAACGAACTGAAAATATTATTTTCCTTTTTGGCAGTAATCATTTACTTTTTGAGCAATACGCGTGATATACTTGTATTCAAATTATATTCATTTCTGCATATTAATATTAATCGGCTGCAGCATCTCTCCGGTTTATAAAACGCTATCGTAACTGAACCGCGTGTTACTTTTCATCCCAAGAATGGAGAGCGTTCGATAAAACCGCAGCAATGAGTTTTAGTCGTTAGTGTTAGCTATCATACACTATGAATGAATACGTGAAACGTTAATCTAAACGTTCGTACAACTAACTGTTTGATCTACCTCGTATAAATCGTGAGAATAATTATAGAGAACCTACTGATTACCCGTGGCTATTTTAATCTCATGAGAAACCATAAATTTAAACATGAAAGTCACAAGAGATATGGCAAGGTAAAGAAAGAAAGAAATAAAAAGAGAACCGTTCTCCTCGCTTTAGCATACCTGGGAGTTGGGAGTAGCGTTAAGTTAGTGGACGGTAAAGCACAGAGAAATATTGCTAGACGGTTGTCTCCCGGTCCACGTGGATGTACTCCACGAAACCGGGCTGCTGTTGTCAGGATGCCGCTCCTAACAATGTCTCTTCCGTCGGTGCCCGTCTCGGTCTATTGCTTTTCTTTGTACCCTTGTAATGAAGTCTCTTTGTGCGCGCTTTTGATCTGAAATCAAAAGAAACTCTTTCTCCGCTTTCTGCCAGTTTTCTGATCGAGACGAGCCGCGGACGGTCTTCGTTACCTGCTAATAAGGACAGCGAAGAAGCACGCGAAGGCAGCGATGATTCCGGAGACGCCGGCCAGCACGAGCCACATTTCCGATGGCAGTAGTCCAAGTAGTTTCGCGCCATTGTCGCAGTTCGCCTCGTCGTGCCCGGACGGGCAATGAGCCCGGCCATCGCACCACAGCGACGCAGCGATGCAGGCGCTCAATTCGGGGCACTTGTGAGGGCAGTCTCCGTTACTCAGGGTCTCGTTCTCGATTCCCCGCTCCGGTAGCCGCAACTGCCGCCGTAACGCGGATCTGCTCTTGGAGATCTCTAACCAGGAAGCGGCGGCCTGTCCCGATTCCCTTGCCACGAAGTCTAGCAGGAGCGCCGGAGGCCGCGGAGGACCTGGCCATTTGCCTTCCCCGCTTCCACCCAGCCACTCTTCAGAAAATACGTGAACGGTGTATTCTCTCGCGCCTGGTTCCGCCGGGCAGACCACCTTTAGAAGTTTCGGCGGCCAACCGGAGTAGAGGAGGATTCTGTTGGTCGTGGGGCACTTGGCTTGCTCCGTCATTTCCGTTACGGGAGGTGGCTCGAGGGGGAGGAACCAGCCCCAAATTAACACGAACAGAGATCTGTTCTCACGAGCCTCCACCAGCCATGGAAGACCTTCGCAATAAATGTCCGGTCTTGACAAAGGAGGAGCTACGAATCGCAGTTCGCCACCTGTCGAGCAAGTATCATCGCGTATGAGGGACGTACAGACGGAAACGTAAAACGGAACGATTACCTTCTCCACGAACTCTCTGTTTTCTGGGACACTCGGGAGCCCGGACGAGTTCGAAGCTCGCGTAAAAGAACAGGGTTTGGAAGTCTTCGTGCGGGGCCTGTTGGTCGACCAGGAAAGTGAGCTCCAGAGCTCTGCCCGAGGAGATGTGCGTCAGCGGAAGGTTCGACGTGTTATCGCATAAGCAAGCCCTTTGAAGTCTCACGTCCTTCCAGGGAGCTTCGTACAGGACTAAACGAGCCTCTCTGGAGCCGACTTCCTGTACGCAACGCGGTCGCCCGGTATGCGGGTCCGGTTCGCTGGTACAGAGAGTCGATTCTCCTAAGCTGACGTTGTGCAACGTCAATCGTACTCGCTCGTCCGCCCCAGCCTCGATGCGATATCTGCAGTCCAGCCTCGTGGACCCACCGCGTCCGAAGAGGCGAACGTCGCGCGGCGAGAATACCTCGCCGCTTCGAACTTTGCGCCAAATTCTGCTGCAAACGCCAGCGTCCCACGGCTCCCCGACTTGGGTCGTCGAGATGAATTCGTACTGCGCCTAAGATTGTTCCTTATCAATTAATCAGCTTGTTTACGATTCGATAAGAAGTGATGACAAGAACTTACATTAAAATTAACGGTGTGAAGAGAGGTGCCCAGCAAGGTTTCCATGCGCAACGTTAAGGACGGAGTCACGGTAATGTAACTCTCGTCCTCGGTGCAGGGTCTGGTGCTTCTAGTGTTGTTCCGTAACGCCGCGTGCGCGCATAACTTTGGCGTGTCATCGCAGAGAGTAGCCATCGCGGCTCCTGTGGTCGGAGTACCGTCCCAGAAGATCAACTTCACCGCGCAAGGGACGTCCGCCTGGTTTTGAGAACTGGCGTTGTTCTCGACGCTGCCCGTCAAATCCCTCTGCGAGTACGAGGAGAAGTAGATCCACACCCTGTCTCCGGCGGATCCTTTGATGTTCCACGTGCAACTGGAGTTCGGTGGCACTGCGTGAAGCGGTGCCCTCAAAACGCCGCTCCTCTTATTGGTACTGTTCACGAAGAAGTGGCAGTCCGAAGAGCCCTTGGCGTAATCGAGACCGTCGGAGTCGACGTAGACCACTTGGATCTCCAGCTCGATCCTCAACGCGGATGCGCCGAGGGGAATTGCTATCGGGGAACTTCGAAATTCGACCTGCATCGTCGGACCCCTGGCAGTGATTCTGGGCAAAGGGCCGCCGCAATAAATCAGTAGAATCTGGTCTTCCGGTCTGACGCCGTCGCGAAAGATCAGTCGGTCCTTCTCCGGTGGACAATCGTGCCACACGCTCAAAGTACTGTTGGCCGTATTAACTCCCGCCGGGCCAGTGGGACTGGACTTGACGGAAATCATTGCGTGCTTGCAGGTGGGCACTTCCTTCTGCCTTATGGTGATCAGGCAGCTCGCGTTTCTCGGATATTCCCCGGGATAGTTCGGGCTCTGCAGCCTGCACTGCTTCAAGTGGCATTCGTAAAAGTTCCTCGAGCAATAAGTACCCGGTACCGGGGAACCTCTCTCGATGGGAACTTCGGGTTTCCCCAGTCTGGCGACGGCTTCGTTGCGCGAGACGAATCTGTATCTCAGATGAAACTCGAAGGGGATGCTGGAAGGCGCGTGGAACAAGCGTATGGAGGCTGTCACGGTGCTGGTCTCGCTGTAGTACGTAGCCTTCCCTTCGCCGACTCCGCACCAGGAACCACCGGTGAAGTGCCTCCCCAGTTCGGCGAGCTGCAACGATCCTTCGGGGCAGCTAGTGACGAAGCTGTCCGTGGGATCGACTCTGCCGACGCTAAAAGCGTCCCAGAGGAGCTGCACCAGCTCCCCGTACCCCTGGCCAGCAGCGGTGAACGTCAGATGACAGAGGAACGGCAGGCGCTCCTCCGACGGTCTCGGAAGATCCAATTTGTAGGTGCGCCCTTCGCGTCCGTGATAGGTACGATTGCAGGGCGTGCACATCGGCGGTTCGTCGCTGTTATCGCCGCAATCATCCCATCCGTTGCAATACGCGTCAATCGGTACACAATGCCCATCCCGGCAAGTTAATTCGGCTAGACCGCAATCACCGGCTAAGACCACTTCCGTGCGTCCGTGCAAAAGTAACAACAGAACGAGGAATCGTTTATAACCACCACCGGCATCAGCTATCTCCTGAAAAAGTAATACCCGCGACGTGTTGTTTCTTTTCGTTATACAAACGTTTATGTAAATGACTGTCAAATGTAATCAAAATTGCGAAAAATGCTTCAAATAAAAGTTGTTTTCCTTCTAACTTCGATATTTAACGAGTTACATATGATTATATGGCATTTTATTGATGTTGACAAAATCCGACCATCCCACCGTCGAAACGGCGAACTTTTGGAAAAAAATTTCGTTTTTCCTCGATAACTCCTAAACCCTTGGAGATACGGGAAAATTGCATATGACCTTTCTTGTAGAGGACGACGAGATTTACAATTTCTGTATAAAATTTTTTCGCTAGCATTAATATTTAACGAGTTATTGACGAAAAACGAAAAAACAGTTTTTTGCAAATTAGTCGTTAACTATAGACGCTAGCGAAAAATTTTTACATGGAAATTGTACATCTCGTCGTCCTCTACAAGAAAGGTCATACGCAATTTTTCCGTATATCCAACGGTTTGGGAATTATTGGCCAAAAACGAAAATTTGGAAGAAATTGAAGGGGTACCCCTTGGAAAAATCTCGGAAAAATCGAAAATTTTTTTTTGTTGTTTATTATTAACAATGTTCTTCCGACGTCTGATTTCTTTTTAAAAAATGCGTTTCTAAAGTGCATAAACTTTTGGGATTGACTATATAGCCAATACATCCTTAATCGATACGAAAGTGAAGCCTCTTTTCGATAGACGTTCGTCAAATGAAACATCAGAAGCAAACGTGATTTCAAATAAAAAATATCCTACGTTGCACACGAATGGCTTCGTTAGCTGTATCTCATGACGTTCTCTATAGTAACGTAAGAAAACATTAATCAGGACGCTTAAGCTAAAGAGGGGACAGCGTAAATTACTGTTTCACTCTTAAACGGTGGAACAAATAAATAATCGATATTATCTCTACTCGATTAAATTGTAGACACCGCGTTTCGAGTAAGCGATTGATAAATTTGAAGTACTTTCAACCTAGTTTTCGACATTGTAACGAGCAATTGTATTACCATACGGACAGTGTTCCGGGAGAAGAGGGAAAGGGCCATTCACCGAAGTAGGTGAACACGTTAAATTAAATACTTTGCCGGCATCGACAGGGAAAAGTGCACCCGGTGAACAATGTGTTTTCGATTCTCCAGATACATCGCTCGATCACCTCTATACATGCTATTTACACGATAAGCACATCGCGCGTCAACTATTTCGTGCCACTTATCTCTGCGATCGTTGCTCGTGATTTTCTACATAGCGTTTCACGAGAACAAAAAAGAATACGCTCTGCTGCTCGTATTGGATAGCAAACGTATTCTTGTCGTTGGTAACGAGTTGCGATGAATTTTAGATGAAATCTCTGTTGAAATTTCGGATGACAAAGTCTCGTCGGATGTCTCTCATGCATATTCAATTCGGTGTGCTAGTCCGCGATTCACTCTTGCACCGAATCGTTTCGCGTAAGTAAAGAAACTTGAAAAGGCGTACGACTTTGTCGCCGTCGAAATACGACACGAATGAATTAATGAATTTCAAATCTAAGAGCAGCACGAAACGTTGCCGTTCTCTATTAAAATTCAGCTGTACCGGTTGTTAAATAATTGACATTTAAAACAGTCACACTTTTCATAGATATACGTAATGCAATGAATTATTTACCATAATCATCTGTCGGTGAAACGAACATCACAATAGCAAGGCCTGAATCGATGGCACGGAATCAAAGTTTCACACGGTACCCGGGAACTGATTCAAGCTTGGCGAGACCGCGATTCCTGGTGATAATGATGACAACCGACATGATTAAACCGACGAGTGACACTGTCGATTGACAACATCGAAACACGATTAGTTTCGAATGGTAGAAAATGTCCACGACTGAGGAAGAAGCGTTTCGTTCCCGTCTCCCTTTGATCTTTGAAACGCGCACCGGGTGAGAATTCGCGTGTGCTCGTGTGCGTGCCGCGGTCCCGAGTCGGTGGAAGAGAAGGAACCGTTTGCACGGAGCCGGAAAAGTCCAGTGACCGAATGCAGGTGCAAGCGGTAAAGAGGTTGATGCGCAACTGCACAGAGCAGAGCACGGATTGTGGCGAGGAGCGAAGCCCGGAGGGCGGGTTTGCTGCAGGGCACGTACACGGGGAACGGAGACGGGAACGGGGGTAAAGGGTGACGGCACGAAACGGGGCTGAGCTCAGGACCTGGCGCCTCAATCCATCGATCGGCCCCCGTTCTCTCCTCTTTCGTTCCTTTTTCCACCAACCGTTTCGACACCCTAAACCTCCCGCACTGACGTAATCGACGGTCTTGATACCCTTCGACGAATAAATCCTAGCCGTGAGACCGCATTGTTTCATCGTTGGCTCGAACAAGTTTGTTCCCGGCTAATGAATGTCATCCCTCGCCACTGTGCGAAAGTTAGTGCGGCTGGGAATAAAATTTTTGCTCGACTCGCGGGAATCTATCAACGAAATCCAGACCGGTCCATTAAATCACGCTTTGATCTCGCGAGGAAGAGAGTTGTTTTAATCTCCCCTAATGGATTAAGCTTTCTCTTTTCTTCTTTTCAATCCGCGGAAATGATTTTCAGGCCTTGCTGTTGCGAGAACATCTCTCGCGTTACCAGAAAATGATCAAAGGGATAGGTCTCGAAATGCACGGACCGATGAATAGCAATACCAGCGTTTTACGATCGAGTCGGGGTTTTTTAAATCCTTTCCTTTACGATGCATCCGAGCTGCGTAGCCTAGTTATCTGTTTGAAGGTCAAGCGGGGGTAATAACGTTGCGTTCTACCCTCGATACGCTTCGGCACGCGAATTAAGCTCGCGCTTCGCAGCTCACAGAGAGAAAAATGCCGACTGCCTACCTACACCGTTGACCGCTTATTGGTGACGAATTGTAGGTCGAAAGAGATCCACATTGCACGATGATAGCGGGTTGCGAGAGAAAAGAGAACTCTTGGAATTGCCAGCGAAGAGAGGGATAATAATGTATCGAAGGCCTGTATATGCATTCAGCATTTTCTCTTTTCGGGAATTTTATTCTCTCTCTCTCTCTCTCTCTCTCTCATCCTCTCTCTGCCTTTTTCTCTACGTCTCTTTAGTTTACAAGCATATACACTCATTGCAATATAAATATAATTCTAGAAAAAATAAAAAATGTTATCAAGTCACGACGACGAATATGTAATCAGTGATTCATTAATAATGAATATTTTGTTTGAAATTAAAATTAATACTTGGAGAGTCCGATATCCCTCGAACGATTAAAACACGGAAAATGACCAAGACGATTTTATTGTCTTTTAACTGAGGAAACGGTTCGTTCGGTATGTTCAGTCTTTAACGAGCATGCTGTATTTATAATGGTGAAATAGGTCGACGAAGAGTTTTCTATTTTTTTCTTTTTTTACACGCCGCAGCTCGCTTTTAACTCTTCTCCTTAGTAAACTGTAACAAGGGCGAACTAAAAAAAATTGCACGTTAATATTCTTCAGCGAGTACGAAAGAAATTAGACGAGAACTTGAAAACCACTGAGAACTTCAATTCTGTCGCAGACCTGTGTTACACAGTAACTGTATTTTATCGATGATCACTCTTTCTCAAAGCTTCATCCGGAATTCGTAAAATTAAAGATTCCATCAAATGTACCTTAATTGATAGTTACACCATCTTCTTGAATACGACGAGACGTCACGACGATTTAGAAATAATCCCTCTCGTTAAAAATAACTTGTTTAATGTAATAGATTTCATTTTGCGACTCCTTAACATCGGAACATCGCGTGAAACGTACGTCCTACTTATTATACGGTGGTACCAGTTTCCTATACAATCACTTCATATTTCTCACAAATCAATGAAATAAACAACATCCAGTTGAATTTAATTAATGCGAAATCACTGTTATGAAAATGAAGCCAAACCTTCTTAGAAACGGAATGCAAAAATCGTCCAGTTTAATAAATAGATAAAGTTAGAAGGCGTATCGTGTACGAACATCCTCGAGCTTCTTCGATACCTCGGACGGCGTACGCTCGAGATCGCCCGATATGCTCTTCTGTTTCGCCGGCTCGATAGAGTTGAACTGCTCGCAGAGGTCCCCGTCGATCACGTTTTTCACAGGATAATAGTACGACCTGAAGGACAAGTGATCCCTGCCGCATAGGGGTGGATGTTCCGATCGCATGTGCATCTCCAAGTGTTGGAAGAAGTCGTGATCCTCGTGGCTCGTAAACGGGACGAGAACGCCAACGGTTCCGCTCAACGTCGTGTAGACCAAGCTCTCCGAGCCGCCAGGAATAAGGGTGGCCTTTTGCAAAGACATTACCGTCTCGCCGACGTGGAAACAAGCGGCCGTGTCAGCCTTTTGGCTGGCGCCGTTTAACAAACCTCGGTCCCATAAAGCTTTGTTACCAGTCGGATCTTCGTCCACGTCGTCATTGATTCCACTCGCCAAACGAATCTGTCGACAAACATTAGATATAAATCACTTATCAAGCTACATAAAACCTTCTTTTCTTAGTCGTTTATTGTACTTACAACGGCAATATTTCCAAATTTATCGGCAGTAGCGACGGTATCGTAATCGAGTACACACGTCGTCGTTATCCACCTCGGATGCGTGTCGTCGGCGAAGACTATGAGCTGGTTCTCTTGACGTTTGTATCTGACAGCGTAAACGGATTCCTGAACGTCGCTCACGTAAATCCTTTGCCCGATAGCGTTGATGGAAACGACGGCGTTAGGAATGTGCTTGTTCTCGCACTTTCGCAGAAGTTTCTTCTTGCCCATGTCGTACAATCGTAGCATCCTGCCAACACCGATCAACACCCTTCCCTGATACGGGCAAATAGCCAAAGGTACCTCGTCCAAAATAGTTTTGTGCACTAGCTCCAGACTGGTACACTCCGCGTTCACTCTGAAACCAGAAACAAAGATCCATTTTTTCGTATTCGTTCTTCTCTCATAATTTCCAATTTTAACTTTAATGAAAATATCAGTACTGCAGGAGTGGCATCTTTATCGTATTTCAGTTGATCGTGTATTTTTGTCATCATACAGATTTTCTAACATTTTACGTTTACAAAAATCATGGGAACGATCTGCTTACTTGTACGTGTAGAGGAAACCACCGGTGCTGACTCTTGGATTCAGCTGGAAATCCTTCGCCACGCCTACGATGAGGAACAGCTGATCGCCCTGATTCATGAACTTTACGAGACTCAAGCTGTAACATGAATTACGGGAGAATGTTAATACGACGCAAGTTCATCGACAGGATGTTCGAGTATCATTGATATTTTTACCAGTAAGCGGCATAGTTTTGCTCCAACCGATGAATCTCAAAAGTCTGTCCTGTGGTAGGCGCTATTATTCTGATCAAAGATGCCCACAAGCCTGGGCCAGCTCTCGGCGCACCGAATACGGCTTCGTTCGGTTCCTCGGACAGGAAAGCTTCCGCCAACTCCCTCGCGACGGCAGCTTCTTCCGCACCCGCGGCTTCTTGCATCTCCTCGGCCATCTGCAACCTCCTCTGTTGCTTGGTTTCCTCCGTGTACGCGTTGTGTTCCGTTTCGATGATTATAAGATGCGCCGAATCCGAGTGGATCGCGAATTGACGGGGTGTATACTCGAGAGGGAAACTGATCTGATTGAACACCGCTCCCAGCTTCTCGAGAGCGAGAATCCTGAGAGTGTTCGTGGAAATCGCGACGATGCCCT